TGTGAAACAACTTAATAATATCAATGTTGCATCATATTCGTATATCATTTGATCTGTAGACAGATGAATATTGATATGTAAGAGCTATCAGAAATGCACTGGGAATAAATTATATGGGTGCTGCCATATGTAAGCTAAAACAACAAACCTCTCCTCTTTTAAACTCCCCCAAGCCTTTCCCCATGATGTCCAATTAGAAGGGATCCCTCACCATCAAGGCCTGGGTTCTGCTTACTCTGTCCCTTGAACTTGGGAATGGTTACTGTCCCAACTCATAGAGAAAATTACACTATGTGACTTCTGGGTTATATGAAAAAGGACACAGCTTGTGCATGGCTTTCTGCTTGGGGGAAGCCACTCTCAGGAATCAGCCAACATACTTCGAGACAGTCCAGACTGGCCTGTGCAGAAGCTGTGTGAAAAGGCTCCATGGAGGGCCCATGAGAAGAGGGCCTGAGGATCCATCCAATGGCCAGTGCCACCTCCAGATGTGTGGCTGACCCTTCAGGTGACTTTCGCCTCCAGCCCTCTAGCTACCCAGTTGACGCCCAGAGGTGATGGAGGGAGATAAACTGTTGGAGCTCCCAACCCAGAAGAACTAGTGAGCGTAATGAATGCTTACGTGTGAATGCTCACCGTGCCACTAAGTGTTCTGGTAACTCATTACATGGCCATAAAGTCTGGGACACTGAAAAATGTAGAGGATTAGAACAGAGAAAGGGACAGACACAGAAGTAGGAACATATTATCTGGATAGAGACTATTAAAAAAAAAAAAAAAAGGAGGCCAGGCACAGTAGCTCACACCTGTAATCCCAGCAACTCTGGGATGCCAAGGCAGGTGGATTGCTTGAGCTCACGAGCTTGAGATCAGCCAGCACAAAAGTGAGACACATTTCTACTAAAAAATAGAAAAACTGAGGCAAGAGGATCGCTTGATCCCAAGATTTGGAGGTTGCTGTGAGCTATGACACCATGGCACTCTACCCAGGGCAACACTTGAGACTCTGTCTAAAAAAAAAAAAAAAAGATGAGTCCTTTTAACACCTGTTCCCTACTCACCACACCTTCCTATCTATGGGGTCTTTAGTGCCTGGGACAGGGTGTGGAACTTGAGGCGAGAAAGGGTTGCTGAATGCACAATGAACTACTCCAGTGCAAGTAAAACAGGAAAACGGTCCCTTCAGGGACTCCTGGCTCCCTGTGCAGAGCAGAGACTGTAGCACTTTCCATTTCCCATCTGTAAAATGGGTAATCCATGTGAAGAGTATTTGGTAAGAGTTAAATTAATAGTAGTTAACTCACTATTTTATTTCTATCATAGCAAGGATAGTTACTTCATAATACAGACAGAAATCTCACAAATTTCAACTTGAATTTGAAATCATCAAATTACATAATTTCATAAAGCTTTAGAAGTCAAGGTACAGATATTTTCCTTAACTCCTGAACACATAGCCCAAGCCTGACTGAGTTATCATTCCTATGAATTACCCACTAACTCTCATTTCTTAGAAAGCAATCTGTAAGCAGGGAACTGTTTTGAGTCCTTGACAACTCCTCAGAATTCAGGTTAAATGGAGCCTGACTTGAAAATAGATCACATTCTCTACACAGAAGCCCCTGCTCTGAGTACCATGTTCTCTCTGAATTCTCTAAATTTCTTGCAGCAGATTACTGACACGTGATTTCACCAGACTCCATAGCTCGAGAGACCCATGATGTGCATCTGCACGTGTGAGTTTCCAGGGTCGTCTGGGGAGATAGCTATATGTCCAGTCACTGGTTTCCACCTCTTGCTCTTTAACACAGAGCTGTAGCAAGAGGAGCTTTGTAATAACAAGTTTGGGGAGAAAATATGATAGCGTTTATTAAAATAATATTTATATAACCTCAAATTTTTCTCATTTGTTTAAATGGCATATTACAGTGAATTTTAATGTACTCAATAGATTAGAAAAAATGTCAATCTTCTTACATAGAAATCTCAAGACTATGAATATATTCTAAAACATATCATTGAAATATTTAGCTGAAAGAAAGAACAGGGAATTTTCATGACTGTAGTAAAATGAGTACATCTCAATCAAAACAACACACATTTTGTGCATATTAATTATGTCTGGGTGTGGGGCAGCGGCTTTACGTGGCAATGTTCCATCTGTCACTTACCAGGAGATGCATGAACCAGGGAATCTCATTACAGACACAAAGGCTGCCCTGTTTTTTAAGATGAAAATGTATGGGATCTATACTGACATCTGCCAACATGCAAACATTTGCGCTGAGAAGCACATTTTAAAACGCAGCCTGCAAACCTGCATATGTATACCGTATATATTCCACTAGTCTCACTCAATTGCTGTCCTCATGTTCATCTTTACTTTTCTTATGGCAAACAATAAAGAAATAAAATGAAATCTTTCCTTTTCTGTTAATCTACAGAAAGGTATAAAAGGAGGAGAATTTTATGTCAGTTTTAGTCTTCAGATTGGACCTTTATCAATTTTTTAAATTTCAGATTAATATGAAGATACACATGATTAAGTTATATCATTTGCATTTGTTAGGTAAAGTTAGAGTTGGAATTGAGCCCTTCACCCAGGGGTTGTGCTGTACATTGTGCACATTAAGTGAGAACCTACCAATCCTCCCTCCTCCCTTCTTTTCTTTACCTCCTCCCCCTCTTGAATTTAATTATTTTTTTCTCTCGTGTGGGCACATAGTTGTCTATCTATTGGTTTCATATTAGTGCTCTATATGTTGTACACTTGCTTTTCCCTGCTTGTGATACTTTACTAAGGAGGTTGTTCTTCAACTCTAACCAGCTTAATACAACAGATGTAAAGTCTCCATCTATTATATAACTGAATAGTATTCCATGGTATCCAGATACCATGGTTTTTTAATCCATTCATAAATTGATGAGCACTTGGGTTGATTCCACATTTGGCAATTGTGAATTGAGCTGTAATGAACATGCTAGTGAAAATTCAAGCTAGAAGAGGGTGGTAATCAACCTTTAAACTTCTTAAACAAAAATAATTTTCAACCCAATATTTTGTATCCTGCTAAACTAAGTTTCATATTTGATGAAGGAATCATTTTATGACATGCAAACACTGAGGAAATTTGGTACAAGACCAGTTCTGCAGAAAGTACTCAGACCTGTTCTTCACACTGACCACCACAATGTACCACCAACAAAGTAATGACATCTAGAAACTAAAGTCTGGCTTCCACAATGGCACAAAAGATACAACTAACCAATGGACCTTTACAAAATAAGACAAACAGAACTCCACCATCTCTATCAATCAATTCTCTCAATAAATGTGAATGGCTTGAATTCCCCACTAAAGAGGCACAGGCTGGCTGACTGGATAAAAAAAGATAAGAAAACTACATGTTGTCTTCAGGAAACACACCAAATCTCTAATGGCAAAACAACACTTAGGATGAAGGGTTGGAAAACAATACTTCAGGCAGATGGAAATCAGAAGAAAGCAGGGGTTGCAATCTTATTTGCAGACACAACTGCATTTAAACCAACAAAAATAAAGACAGACAAAGATAGACACTGTATACTGGTCAAGGGAACCATATAACAAGAAGGCATTTCAATCCTTAATATCTATGTACCCAACTTAAGTATTCCCAGATATATAAAATGACCCCTAAGCAATCTGAACAGCATAATATTATGCCCTTCAGCACCCCTCTGACATAACTGGAAAGTTCTGTAAGGAGCACAGTCCATGCTGACTTACCTAGAACTACACACAAGTTAATGTAAAAGTTCTCTACAAATAACAGTGGCTGTACTGTAAAATGATTTTAAGTGTTCTCATTTACAATAATAATGGTAGCTGTCCCTCATCTTAAACATGTACGGTGTGATACTAAGTGACACAAGAATCTCTATTTAATCACATTTAATCTCTCAACTCTGTAAACCTATTATTATCCTGATGTCACAAATAAGAAAACTAAGGCAATAGATTCTTTATTTTGGTCAAGAAATCTATGCCAGTAAAAGTCACAGTTGTGGGTTTCTGACACATTTTAATTTTTTATCCAGTGTCATAATCTATCACATTATCTACCTTAAGAAAATGAAGCCAAAGAAATCACAAAATTATTAGCAATTCTGTCCCAACTCTGCTTAGTTATAATTTTGTCTGTAATGTAATGCAGTTTGTTTTTCTATCTTTCTACTTTTACCTTTTTTACAGGTTTACTTTTCTTCTCTGCTTGCTAAGGGAAGTTGTATTTCTTTTTCTTCTTTAACATATAATTCTTAAATATGCTTAATTTAACAAAACTATTCATGCAGTACTATTATAATGCCCAACAACTCTGTATTTTAAAAAAAATTCTCTAAATTATAAATGATTTTAAAATAACTGATGCTTCTGCAATGTATTCTTATGAATTTGCAGTAGTCCTATGTATGAATGTCACATGTAGATGAATCTACAAATCATGGCATGCAGCTTAATGGAGTATTTCCAGTTTGATTTTTGGCCCAGGTTTCTGAAGACTCTTTCCCTGATCTCAAATATTCATGTCTTTCTCTCTCTGATATAGTAGAAATAATATTTCCATAACCATAACTCAAGTCTTTGTCTTGCATTGTCTTTTAAAACAAGTGACTCTGGTTTTTTTTTTGTTTTTTTTTTTGTTTTTTTTGCAGTTTTTGGCTGGGGCTGGGCTTGAACCCACCACCTCTGGCATGTGGGGCCAGTGCCCTACTCCTTTGAGCCACAAGTGCCACCCAAGTGACTCTGTTTTTGATGTGTGAGAATGCCAGTTGTTTAGAAGAAGACATAAAAATGATGAATATTTCAACAGTGGATATTAATTTTAAAACATGAGATAAAATACTTATTTTGATTCCATATTTGTAAATAATTACACTAAATATTTCTACTGAATCAAAAAAGTAATTTGGTTGAAAAAAGCCATTGACATTCACAGAATTTAAAAAAGCCTACTTACTTGTTCAAATTCATTCTTTTGAAATTCTTCAAAACCAAAGATATCCAATATTCCAATATCCAATGTCTGCATGCTGAAACAAAATGACACACCAGGATGAATGGGCATCCTTAAACATTCCCGGCCCCCAGGACCCTCTGCTTCTTGCTACTTCAGATCAGAAGACTATAACTACTTATGTTGCTGTCAATTTGTACTAAAAATGTGCAAACTATTATCTTAGAGTATAGTGGAAAAAAAATTGAAAAGTAGCACAAAGAAAAAGTGTTCTTTTAATACTTTAATTCAAACACAAATATATGAATAAAAACATGTTTATTTAAAAATTTAAAATATAACAATAGAGGGATGGTTTAACATTTGCTTTTCAAAAACAGTCCTCGTGTCTGCCTCCTTTGACTGGACTTACTTTCCCTTAAGGAACTTGAGCCTCATGTCAAGAGCAAGCCCTAGCTATTACTTAGACTATAAAAGCAGCAGATTAAGAATTTAACCATCACACGCAAGAATAATAGAAGGCAAATCACATTAAGTTAATGCACACTCTTTGACAGATCAAACTTAGCAACTTCAAAAATTTACGTTGTGATCTTCCGGAGGTCATTTTTATAAAAGAAAAATGAAGAAAGTAAAACTTTGAAGGATAATTTAAAGAAATCAATCTTGTGATTCAATATAAACTGTCACTCTTGGGATTTATGACAGTCTTGAGTGATAAAATCTCAGATCTCTGAATCTACATGATAAGTAAGGAAAGAAGTAAGACAAATCCGAGGTGGTGACAGGAACGCTAACAAATAGTGATCTTGTGAAGAGGGCAGAGGGGGCACTGGTGTGGGGAAGTGTATGTGAGCTTGCTTCTTACAAACCAAAAAGTTCCCAAGGTCTTTTGGATTGCCCAGGAGGACGTGTCCCCTGCCTCTCCTGCACCATTACCCAGGGTCTCAGCAGGAAAATTGCTGTCTTTATTTCCTGTTGATGGGTACACTATTCTGTTGCTATTGTGGTTGTTACAGTGTCAATATCCATTATGTTTCTTAGTTGTTGAATTTTTATTTCCCTGCCATTTACTTTGTCCAAACTGTAGAACCAAACTGGAGCCACCTCTGGATCTGTCCCTATATTCTGTTTCTTACAAACAGTGCATAATCATGACACTTCAGGATCTATGATTAGTCACTTAAATAACAATCACCCCCCTTTAAAACTGTAGGCTAATGATTCTATGATAGCCTCTCTGTAAGGTCATTTTTTGTATATGGTAGAAATATAAATGTCTTAGTGGGAATGAGAGAAGTTTAAAAACCCTTAATACAAACTTCCTATGTCAAAGAATATAAAGCAATGAAGGAATCATCCAGTGTACGACTCTAACTAACTTAGTTTTTATGGGCGAAAGTAAACTCTGCATGCATCCGAGAGTTAGATGTTAGGGTAAGAAACTATGGAAGGTAGGAGGACAAATGTGACCGTTTTTTCTGATTTTCAGTTTGGGGAAATGTCAAATGAAATGTTTAAACGTGTGATAACACAACTACTGAACACTCTCGCATCTATTAAACTGGGTTAAGTAACATTCAGTTGCTGTTAGAGGAGTTATTTAAATGTGTTGCGTCATTTGTTTTGGTAGATTTTACTTTTCTTCTACTGACACGTCTGCGGTCTTTGTCTTTAATACCCTTCATTTTCCCCTCCGTCCTGCTGCCTTTACAATGAGCACAAAGGACGCTGACAATGATGTCCCTCAGTGCTAACAACGGTGCCAAGGGGCAGGGCAATTTCTCCCTTTGCTGTGGTTGTGTATGAACAAATGTATGTGAGTGTGTGTGTGTGTCATCTGGGTAAGGAGATGCCTCATCTGTCTTATCTTGGAGTTGTTCGGTCTTGGGTAGGAATCCTGCTTCAAACACTTTTTGGTTGCATAAGTTTGGGCAAGTTACTTAATTTTTTGAGCTGCTATTTCATCACATATAAAAATAAGATAACAATTGGGCAGTGCCTGTAGCTCAAAGGAGTAGGGCGTCAGCCCCATACGCTGGAGGTGGCAGGTTCAAACCCAGCCCTGGTAAAATAATAATAATAATAATAAGATAACAACTGAAATTTGTCCACTTATGTTGTTGCTAGAATTAGAGTTAATAGAAAGTTCTAGGAAAACAGCAAATATATAAAGTGTGTCCAATAAGTGGTAGTTAAGTTTTCACGAATTATTTTTTAAAACTTATAAATCAAGAGAATAGTTACCAGAAAAATCTAAGTGATTAATAGGCATAGTAAATGCATCAATATTATTAAAATTACACAGAAATAGTATGCTAAAAATCACGATGAGAAAAATATTTTCCTACATACTTTTTTTTTTTTTTTTTTTGGATGCAGGGTCTCTCTTTTATGGCCCTGGATAGAATGCACAACTCACTGCAACCTTAAGCTCCTGGGCTCAAGAGATCCACCTGCTTCAGCCTCCCAAGAAGCTAGGACCTCAGGTATGCGCTCTGATGCCTGGCTAGTTTTTCTGTTTTTAGTAGAGAGAGGGTCTCAATCTTGCTCAGGCTGGTTTTGAACTCCTAAGCTCAAGCGATCTTCCCATCTTAGCCTTCCAGAGTGCTAGGATCATAGGTGTGAGCCATGACACCTGGCTCCATACCCTTCTATTGAGAGTTTAAATTGATAGGGTCTTCCTCAAAAACAATCTGGTTGCATGACAGAAAGCTTTGAAATGTTCATATCATTTGAACTAATATATCTCTAGATATGAACCTATATGAAGGAAATGATCAGAAATGGCTATTAGAGATTTATAGACAAGAATCTTCATTGTTAATTACAATAACACAGACAAAAAGAAATGACACAGCTCCGACACTAAGAGCATAATTAATTAAATAGCATGCATTCCTTCATGGATTAAATTAATGAAACTGTCCTGTTAAGAGAAAGCAGTATACAAATTTTGAATAAAGGAAAACACAATTTTTTATCTAGGAGACCTCAAAATAAATCAAGCTTGAAAGAGAAAATAGAAGTTTTTTTTTTTGTTTTTTTTTTTTTTACCTTTCATTTACTATTACCCACATTATACAAGTTTTATGGGCTCGGCGCCCTTAGTTCAGTGGTTAGGGCACCAGCCACATACACTGGGACTGACAGGTTCAAATCAGGCACAGGCCTGCTAATCAACAACGACAACTACAACAAAAAACAGCTGGTCATTGTGGTAGGTGCCTGTAGTCCCAGCTACTTGGGAGGCTGAGGCAATAGAATCATGTAAGCCCGAGTTTGAAGTTGCTATGAGCTGTGATGCCACAGCACTCTACCCAGGGTGACATAATGAGATTCTGTCTCAAAAAAAAAAAAACAAAAAAAAAACTTCTATATCAAAATACTGCTATTTTTATTATTATAAAAATATTCAGTTGATGAGTACATAAAGGCAATATGAAAACACAGAAAATGTTCATGACCAACATTATCTAAAAATAAAAAGCCAGAAAAAAATCTATCCCCTCTGTATACTTAAAAGTTAATTTGAACAATGTTAAAAAGTAAATCCATAGCCTAGAAAAATAAAGCACATTTGAACAGGTGGTCATAGTATAGTAAGGCTGGAAGGAATTTTTAAGTGGTCTAAATGTTCTGTGTGGAGCATTACAATGATCTTTATCAATAACTTTATTTAAAACCATTTATTAAAATATATATGTTTAAATGCATGTTGTGGCCTTTTTTTTTTGCAGTTCTTGGCCAGCGCTGGGTTTGAACCCTCCACCTCTGGCATATGGGGCTGGCGCCATACCTCTTTGAACCACAGGCTCACAGAACCCATCACAAACGTGGTGGGGAGGGAAACTCCTTTGTCAGGAGAAAACGTGCATGCAAATTTAAAGTATTTTTAAGACTACTTTTGCAATTCTGAGAGACATAATATACTAGTTTAAAAGAAACTATTTCATCATTTGTGACTGAATGAAATATGTGTCTGTTAATGCAATAGCAGCCTTGGCAGGATGGTTTCAAAAACTTTTAGCAAGCAAAATGCCCATGCTATGGGCAGCGTTACTGTCACTCCTTGATTGAGACCTGACTCTTAATGCCCAGGCATTTAATTCAACATTCAATCTCTGGCAAAGAGGGACAGAAAGAGTGATCTGACCTGCCGGGATTCAACTGACAGGCAAAACTGCATTTTAATGAGGTGGTCTGTTTCAGTTCAAATTCTGCCTATAAATTCACCTAGAAACTTGCATGATCATTAACAAAACTCTCCAGTTTGCATTAGCATATTATTAAAATGTGTCTTAGATCATGCAGGATATGTATTAAATGCTAGGCCATCGGCCTGGTCTTGATTTTGGCTTTCACGTGAGTAGGTACTAGGTGGGGGAAGGTCCCAATTGAAGAGTGTCTATCTCAGGACAAGGACAAAATCACTCCATCTGAACAGAAAGATGTGATGGTGTGTAGAAGCCATGTTTGTCCCAGTCATCCTTGGGCAAGGAGACTCCCTGGAGAGTTACCCAAGCATTTAGTAAGTTTAGAAAATAGCTTCACCCTGCTTGGCACAAAACCTTTAGACTGAGTTAGAGTTGAGTCAACCTTTTAGGCCAATCATAGACGGGTAAGAATTAAAATCTGGCCCATTCCAGAATTGAGCAAGCTGGTTGTCAAGACTCACTGCCCTTGGGATCAGCAGAGGGAAGTGGTGGGAAGCCCCTGGGACGAGGGGCTGTGCAGAGGCCTTCACTGGCTGTGCTGTCAGCATGCTGGTTTATGTAGTTAAAATGCTTTTTGTTACGTAATTGGCCAGGACGCTGACTCTGCCACTCCTTAGCTTATTACAGCCTCTCCCGGGTTCCTCTCGTCTGTAAAAGAACTTGGGAGGGAGAAGTGGGAAGTGGGTTGTGGGACCCCATACTTTTGGGGGTATCTACCTTTTATTATTTGGCTGAAAATAATACCTGAGGCTTACCACTTTCTGAAACCATGCCATACATTGTGAAAAGTTTGCAATTGCCAATGAAACTGAGCTAGAACCTGGCAGATGACCAGAGTGGCCGTCTTGCTCCTGAATCT